TCTCCCACACTGCGGAGAAACAAGCAAACTCTAGGTAATGCAATGAGACTGAAAAGAATGTAAAATGATCACTCTTCCCGGCCCCTATCATTTATATACTTTTATATCACTCTGCATAACTTTGTTTTTCGGGGATCGAACTAAGGTCTTTGAAGTCCGCAGCCTTTAACTTGAGACCTTGGGCTAGGCTAGTAGGGCGTCTGCATACGTAAGTCTAAACTTTTTTTTTTTCTTTTTGGTACCAGGGATTAGAACTCGGGTCCTTGCCCTTTCAAGGAAGGCCACCGAACCGCTGAGTTAAATCCCCAGCCCCTTGGGCTGCATTTTAGTTATTGTGTTCACAACTTCCATCAGGTCCTTCTGCCTGGACACTCATGACGTAAGCCCAGATCCCGCTCCCATTGCCTATCGATTTCTGAAGAAGCCAATCACCGTCCAAACAACATTTCTTTGTGGTTTCCGGATATCGAATTAGCACCGGCCACACAGAAAACGCCCAACTCCGAGGACCGGGACATGGCGCCCCGAACCCTCCTCCTGCTGCTGTCGGGGGCGCTGGTCCTGCCCGAGACCTGGGCGGGTGAGTGTGGGCGGAGGGAGGCGGGGAGGAGGAGGGGGCGCGGGAGGAGGTCGCGGACTCACCGCCCGCCCCGCAGGCTCCCACTCCCTGCGCTACTTCGACATCGCGGTGTCCCGGCCCGGCCGCGGGGAGCCCCGCTTCATGTCCGTGGGCTACGTGGACGACACGCAGTTCGTGCGCTTCGACAGCGACGCCCTGGATCCGAGGGTGGAGCCGCGGGCGGCGTGGATGGAGAAGGTGGATCAGGCGTATTGGGATCGGGAGACAAAGAGAGCCGAGGACACGGCTGAGGCTTTCCGAGTGAACCTGCGGACACTGCGCGGCTACTACAACCAGAGCGAGGACGGTGAGTGGCTCCGGCCTGGGTCGCAGGGCTCCAGTCCTCTTCCTCCTTCGCGACCTCGCAGGGTGGCCCGGAGGCCCTGGGTCTGACTTTCACTGAGAACCTTCCAGATTGTCTCCCCCGCAATAGCCCCGCTGCAGCGCCGAGTTTCGTTTTCATTTTCCGCGGTGGGGCGGGCTCGGTAGGTGGGGCCGAGGGCGGAGCTGCGTCTTTGGAGTTGATCGCGGGGCGGGGCTGATTGCAGGCAAGTCCCGAGGTTAGAGCTGACCGCGGGAGCCTCAGCTCAGTGGACCCTGGCTGGTTCTCAGTGGGCGGGGCGGGGGCGGGGCAGAACTGACAGCGGGGCGGGCCCTATGGGCGTGGCCAACGGCGGCTCTGGGCGGTGATAGTTGACCCCC